GATTCCTGTCCATTTAAACGAGGAACAAAGAATCGGGAGAAATTATGATGCAGAACATATCAAGAGATGGACAATGAAACAATTAAATATAGATAAATGGGATATGACTTCAACACGCTGCTTTTGAAGATGCTTTCTGCTCATGTGACACTGAGATCTTCTCACCTTATTCATGTTTTCCTTTTGCTGCCTGAGTTCCTCTTCCCATGTGTGACGCATATGATCCAGCTCTTCCTGATTTCCATAAGAGAGGAGATATTAAAATGACCACAAAACTAATGAGCCTCAACTGAGGCATTACTATTAAGAGAAGGCTCCACATTTTAACAACACGTATATTTCTTATTCAATATTATCATATTAATATGTACATTTTTTGCCATTTCATTCAAGTTATAAATTTTTTTCAGTATGCTGATGTTGCTATAGGCACATTTGGCTGATTCCACAGCTAGCATTTTCTGTATCCTAAATAAACTTTAGATATTATAATGGTCAACCTGCTGACCTACACTTTTATGAAAACTGATATAAAGTTTTCAAAAATATTTCCCATAGTACCTGCAGATGCACCTCTCTGAGGTTGCCAGTGAGGGTCTGGGTGTCCAGTTTTCTTTCCGCAGCCTCCAGTCTCTCCAGGAGAGTGACTCTCTCCACCAGCAGATAGGCCACCTGCTCACTGGCACTGCTCTGACTGATCTCTGCTAGACCCTCCTGCTCCAGCATCTCCACCACCTCCTTACACTGGGAGTCTGTCACATACAAACATGACTAAAGACCACTTACTGGACTATAAGGACATTGTGCAGAATGCTAGTGCTATGCTCTACAGTGCAGAATGCACTAAATACCACAAACTATTTTTTATCACCTCAGAAATAGAATTATTTTGCATTTTTTTGTATAATTCTAAGTTAAATAATAATAATAATAATAATAATAAATGCAATTACATTGAAAAAAAAAAGTTAATTGGAAAAAAGTCAAATAAAAACAACTTTAAATATACAATGAAAAACGAAAAAAAAAAAAATGAAAATGAGAAATACTGCTAATAACTGAAATAAATTAAGTTTAAAGGCCTGTTCACACCAAAGATGATAACTATCACAATAATCGTTCTAATTCTAAAGGGAATAGGAAAGTGCATACCATAACTATAATGATAATGAGACAAAGGAACAATTTTTTTTTTTCCAGCTGATGAATGACAAAAAAATTCACAACCAATCAGAATCCACCGATTTTTAAGTGAGTAGGTATTTAAAGCAACAGACAACATTACTGCAATGTGTAAAATAATCAGAACATTCATGTCTGTTGGTGTATTCACTAATATGCTGTAGTTGTTATAGTTATTGTTCTTGGTGTGAACAGGCCTTGTTGAAGTTGAAGTACTAAAAATAACTAAAACTGAAATAAAAATCAATTAAAAAAGAGAAATATGAAAAAAACTAAAAAAGAAAATATAAATGGGAAGAAATTAATAAAAATGACAAGAGAACTTAAAATTATTGAAACAAACTAAAGTTAAAATGAAAATATAAAAATAAAAGCAAATTCAAAATATTAATAAATACTTTTAATATATTCATAAACAATATAAATACTACTAATATTATGTAAATTATATTAAAATAATACTGGTAAAAACATCTTAACACTTGGATGTCAGATCAAATGAGAGAAGAAAATTGTGGCTGATATTACTTCCAGATCCAGGTCCAGCCAAGCACATTGCATTGTGGGATACAGTATTCTACACAGCACACTCTATAATATACTGTACATTTGACAAATGTAGTAGCTGATCTATGAGTTCTTTGCATACAGAACATTTACATACTGTGTACACTGCAGAATACTGTATGCATACTTATATTTAGTACACAAATATACATAATGCAGAAATAGTACGAGTAACATGCAACCAAACTACTCACTGACCAAACTTAGACCACATTCTATTTTATTTATAAGTATGTTAAAACCAATACGAGTTCAAACTCACCCTGTTGGTGTTTCATTAGGGCGAGCTCAGCACGGAGCTGTTCGCTGTCACGCTCGTACTCCGCTGTAAGAGATTCCCGCTCCTCCAGCATGTTTCGAATATGCTCCACGTAATTTTCCACCTTGAAAAAACCCATCAAACAACCACACAGCACAGCAAAAGCATTAGCTACAGAAGCAGTGTGTTTTGGTCAGGAAACAGTGTGGTCATGTTACAGTGTTGATGAGGGAGACCATCATTAGCTATTCTTTAGGGTGGGAGGATGCCCGGCCTGCCATCTGCTGGCTCACCTCTCTCATCTCGCTGGCCTGCTGTGTGCGTAAAGTCTGCAGGTCTTCAGTGGCTGCGCTCAGGCTGCCCTCGCTGCGCTGGAGCAAAAGCCACAGGTGCAGCTCACGCACCTCTGCTGGAGCCTCAGGGGACACACCGTCCCTCTGCAAGCGGAGGGTGAGCTCGTCCAGCTCCTTTTCCTTAGGAGGAAACAAAACAATGAGCCTTTTTTTTTTCTTGATGAGGCCTGGGTTACCCGACACCGTCTTCAACACTCTGTCACCAGCACATCTAATTGCTCAGTGTTAAGTACGTCTCAAAAGGTGCCTAATATCTCACTATACTGTCTCATTAAGCAGCGTTTCTTAAATGGGGGGTTGGGATCCACTGGGAGGCTTTTAAACTTCTAAAGGTGCTGCAAAATGTTTTAGAATGAAAATTAATTACATTTTATTAAAATTAGATTTGTAGATCAGCGGTTCTCGACAACTGCAAACCTCAGCAAACTTCCAAGGGGGGCCTCAAGATGCTTAAGATGATTTAAAATAAGACAAAACAAGAATTAAAATAAGCTAAAACAACTATAAATCAAGATGAAAACAGACATTGTATTTTTAATTTCAATTATTTTCCTCAACAACTATAATTCTTCTTAAGAACCAGGGTTCCCACAGCCCAGGAAAACCTAGATACATGAGGAAATTTTAAACGCGAGATTTCTAGACTAGGAAAAGATTAAAAAATTCTTAAAATCATAAAGTCATGGAAATTTCTATAATGAATATCTATTTTTAGATTAAGTGTTAAATATTTTTAGTAAGGTGCTGAGAAATGGCCTTTTAAAAATAAAATGTAAAAACCTTACTCCATAATCACTAGAAAAATATAAATAATAGAAATAGAAGAAACTTTAATATAATTTGAATATAGTTCTTGTATTGACAGTGTAATTAAAAAACAAGCAGCTTATTACAGCATTATTACAGTGTTATTACAGCAGAAGTGCCAGAAATATCTTAGCCTACATGGGTGGCCTTCGAATATTGTCGTTGACAAATGGGGGCCTTGGAGTCAAAAAGGTTTAAACGTTCTGTAATATAATTTAAACAGAGATACAAGAAGACCTTGGGGTTACAAAAGATTGAGAATTACTGTCATAAAGTTATTTCATTATATGTATTAATAAAGTACATATTATTACACCTGTTGAAATTAAAAACAACTGCCCCTATAAGTCTATTTTTTTTTGTATGTCAACATAACTACCATTAGTCATCAAGCATATTGCATGATCTTCATTAACATTTCATGCGTATGTCATATTTATAAACATAAAAATGACGACACCATACCTCTCTTTTTTCCATGGCCGTGTACAGCTCAACTGGAGTCCGTGCATCACATGCAAATTAGCCAAGCGTTTTTATGGGAACAAAGTTTAGATTGTGGTTTCCAGCATTTGCCTCCGCCCATGTCAGTCTCTGGACTAATCATCACTTTATTGTAAAAAAAAAAGCATAAAACATAACTCAACGTGTTCCTGAAGTTTGCATGCCTTTAAGTTGAACACAATACAGCTAAAGTAACAACCTTTGACAACACTGCAACTGTAAAAAAAATGACTAACGTTACACGTGATCTTCTGCATAATCCATTATCATCCGTTATTAAACGTTTCTCTCACATATTCATAATTTATCTGCAGTCACGGGTGTATTTGACAAGAATAATGTTGCTTCGGGCTCAACAGGCTTTTTTACTGCAATATAAAAAGTTTCCTAACCCAAGCACAGTCCAGTCCGCTAACTTTGGCTAGCGGGCTAGTTCGCAGGTATTAAGCACGAGCTTCTTTTCATATCCTCCAGACGCCTGTTAAAAATAAAACAAAATACGATTGTCGTTGTCCTTCAAAATCGATTTGAAACAGTTAATGATGTCTGTCTGTTTACAAATATTGATGCAACAGTAGAGTGCTCTCCTCTCCTGAGGCCTACCAAGTGTTTTGTTGCAGCTGCTCGCAGTAGCTTGTACCGAGCGCCTAGGCAACGGGTTAAACCATTACGGACAAACAGGGAGAGAAGGATGCGCTGAGATGTTGAGGTTTCACGTTAGTCCAGCAGATGGCGGTGTTTGCTCTATAAATCAATAAGCAACCGAAAAATAAAGTGTAGATACAGTACTGAATGACTTAACTGTTCGATTAATATTGTTCTATTAAAATAAAGTAAGTCATACATTTTATAGCCTATTATTCATAATAAGTCACATCGATACGCTACCTGTCAAAAGACTGGAAAAATCAAGATGTTTTCCAAGGCTGCATTTATTTGATTAAAAAAACAATACTAAAAAGAGTAATATTATTAATTAATTTTACAATTTAAAAGAAATGTTTTCTATTTTAATATATTTTAACATGTAATTTATTAATGTGATGGCAAAGCTGAATTTTCAGCAGTGTTCAGTGTCACATGCATGATCCTTCAGAAATCTAATATGCTATAATTTTAAATTGTAATTTTCAGAAGCATAAGAGACTTTCTTTCATTTTAATTATTCTATCTATCTATCTATCTATCTATCTCTCTCTCTCTCTCTCTCTAATCTCAGGTCTGCAATAACCCTTATTTCTTTAATGCAGTATCAGCGTGAATTAACATAAGTGAACTGGAGTCACATGTATAAAATATTAATTTATTAAAGTAAATTAAAAGTGGGTGGCATGCTGTAAATCATTACCTCAATGTCTAAACTAAAACAAACATTAAAAAGGTTTTTCTACATTTATACACTTGGGTAAGTGTTCAATCTAAATATCAGATTTAACACTAGGTCAAAAAGATTTAAAGTGGAGGAATTGGGCATTCGTTTATGGCACAGTATTTTGCATGTCATTCCATAACAGAAGCATAAGAGCTTTTATATGATGGAAGTCCTCATATGTGTAAAGCCAGACATAATGTACAGTGTGCTTGCACAGTCAGACAAACATTTTATATTATCCACCAGCTGCATTAATTTCCATGTTTAGTTCAGCCCTGTTTTTCCACTCTTAATTAAAATTACATTAAAATTACAAAGTACAGATTTTAATTTAAGAATAAGAAAATGCAGAAAAAATAAAACAAACAACATTTCACTGCAAACAAGTCCTTACATATCTAGGTTTTTTTTATACAACAGGCATGTTTTTCTAAAAGAATGTGCTTTCCTGAGTGCATAAAGTTAATAAAACACATTGTTTAATGTAGTAAAAAATACCTCATTATCATGGATTTACAATGAAATTGAATAATGTAAATTGACCAGTTTTTTCAAGCTCATTCACTTTCTCCCAACATCACAGGGCAACATTTTTTCTGTGGTATCTGAAATTTGCCAGATAATCACAGAAGTCTCATATAACACACTCTCTGCCCTCATTTTCTGGTGATATTGCAGCTTTTGAGCTCATAGAAGAGAACATATGCCTGATTGGACTGAAGCTTCTCCTCTATTATTTCACCAACACTGTGAAAGAAACAGAGCATTAATGTATACACATTTTCCTATTTTTATATACTTTATTACTATAAAATATTCTAACATCATCAAACAAACAAATAATATAATTTGTCTATATTATCTCTAATAGGAGCAAATTACTATTCTTGCATATCGTGTGAGAAAACTGGCCTTTAAATACCATTATTTTATTTAAAAACAAAGATCAGACAAAAAACTGCACACACCATGAGTCATTATAGTAGCACCAGCCCTCCTCCTCTCGACATGCAGCCGTGTAGTGTCCCATATTTACTGTGCCTGAATGATTGCATACTGCATAAAGATCATACAGCACTGGACCTGAAAGCAAACATTCAGTAATATTTCATACACCTCTGCACATAACAATAACCAAAATTTATAATGCGCATGATACTTATTCAGGTATTAACATCTCACCACAGTCAACAGGTCCAAATGGCCCTAAATCCAGCCCATTCAGGGGGAAAGAAACTGGCACTGTGCTCTTTGAGATTGAGTACCTTGACATGGCAAATCGATTTAAGTCTGCGATGGGAAGTTAAGTCAATGTACCTTTTGTAAAGCATGTACTTGGTCACAAGACCTTACACTTACTGCTCCACACCACAGATAATCACCATCTGACTAACTGAAAAGGATACGTATTACGAGGATTCTAGGGAACCTTTGGATGGTCAGTCTCTTTGTGCTCTCAGTGCGACGGTTACACCGCTCACACATCTAAGAAACATACACATCCATGGGCATCAGTAGAATTTCCCATTTTAATGCAAGCAAAAACTGGCCATGCTTTTCACTCACTGGTGAGTTTTCTTGATCAAGTTTTTCCTCTTGTGAAAAGAGGTCTAGACACTCTCTCAGTGTGACGGTTCGTCTATAATCACTCTTCTGCAATACACACAAACAAAAATGATGATGACACATCATCCGCACAACACCAGAAGGCGAGGACAGGGCCTGGGAGTGTTACCTTTGGGATGGGGAGTGACAGGTCACAAAACACGTCAAAGGTGTTGGAGTAATGGGAGCAGACTGAACAGTGCAAGGAACTGCGCAGCTGACCGGAGAACAAATCTGTGACAGAAGTGAAAAATATTTGAGCACCAGGTGCACCAGGATTTAAAATGGACAGAAGTAAACAAAAAGAAGGAAAAAAATGACTTTTTTTTAATGTATTTACTAAATAATCAATAGATTCATTAATCATTAATACACACACTCACATATAAAATGAAATAAAAAAAATCTATAAAATCCAGAAATGTATTGAAAGTTTAATGGTCAAATGGTTCTGCATACAAAAAACAAAACAAACAAACCGTAAGCATGAATAAGGTGTTGAATGAATAATGCAAACAAAACAGTTGTGTCATGAAACTCCAGATGCCACAAACTGATAGGTCTTTTACATGCAATCTAGAATTCATATAATTTACTACATGACAAGAGCTGATTGGCCGCTGCTGATTCTGCAGCCAATAAGACTGCTTGCTCAACATTTAAATAGTTTGATTCAGGGTTTGCTGTAAGCTGGTCCTGTAGTGCACTCCACCTCCCCCAGATCCACATGTCTAGATCTGCTATGGGATTTATATATGCCTATTCATGCAAAATTATTCATTAAATGTATTGGTAAAACTGATTATTATAATATCATTATTTTAACACTGCTACTGCTTACCAACAATTTTACTGACATCCCTGTCAAGATGCCTCTGCCACATTGCAAAGGCCTCCTCTGAAATCCTGCAGGAGACAACGATTGATTTAAAGGCTCTAAATGACTCCAGATAAGTTTGCTCCTTTCAAGATCTGTCTCTTTGTGGAGTACCTGAATCGTGTGTATGCTGGTTCCTTAATTTCCATAACTGCAGGACGTTTAGATGGACGACGGTTAATTTCTGTATGAAGCCTGTCCAGGAGGAACCGCAAGAACTCCTGAGCATCCTGCTGACTGTGTGAGTGAGAAATGAAATGGATAGATTATTTGTCTGCAAAATATTATATGCATAACAACTGAGAAGGATTTCTCTAAACACCAGTACCATAGCACATATTTTAAATACTGTGTTTTTCAGAGAAATCTGAATAGATATCTGTAATAATTTGTATTGAACATACCTATAGCCACTGAAGTAAGGCGCTGACTCTTTAAAGACGTGATAAAACTTCCCAGGATTCACTGTGGTTTCCCCACCATCACATTCCCACAAGCCAGCCAAAACTTTAGAGAATTCTACAATAAAGTCATCAACAAAAATATTTAAGAAAGTAGTAGAGGAATGCCTGATTTTAAAATCATTAAATCAATATATAAAATGTAAAACAAAATAATAATTCAAATAAATCTTTTTAGCATTATTTTTTAATAACCATGCAGCCCCAAACCCCTCAAATTTTGATTTGCTGTACAACTTCACCCCTTATTAAATAACAGCTGAAGTGTGCTTACCATTCATAAGCACAGGTTCCTGGTTGGAGTGTTTGTCCTGAAGGTAAGTTCTCATCAGACAGTAGTCCCGAAGACTACGAGTGTGAGAGAGACACTGCACGATGGCATTAAGGAAACACTACAAACAAAAGAGAACATCTGAATATGTATGGGAGAGATTTTTTTCTTGCAAACATAAGCATTAAAACCTGTCTTTGAATTAGAACATACAGTATTTCCAACGTTACGCAGTCCAACTTGTCCATTTCCCAGTTTCAGCTCTTTCTATAGGATGAAAAGTTACAGCAAATGACTGTCAGTGTGACTTCCTCAATTACATCACAAGCGGCAACAGGTTTGCCATTTACTGTCCCTCCTGCAGTGACTGAGTGTCCATTTATAGGTCTATGATCCAATTATAACAGAAGGAAGACACTATCACGTATGACACTGAGGTTAAGACCAGATATACATAACTCGAGGTGAGCACCTACAGGTGCCAAAACACATGTATTTTATGCTTTTTTATAGTAATTATCAATATGGTTTGCAGATAAGCTAAGCCTGTTGTTTCCAGCATATACGAGTTAACAGAATAGGCCTATATATAATATATGCCATGTGTCAAACACACTAATATGGTAGGTTTCAGACAGAATGTGTCAATGGCATAACACTGCTTCACCTTATTGTCTGTCACCAGCAGGAGTCCCATGATGGATGTGTATAGTACAGACTGTGAAATGTCCACGTTCTCTGGCTGAAGGCCATTTTGAGTGACTAAGGTCCGGCACAGGGCCTGACACGAGTTGTCCATTGCAGTGGATTCAGCTCTTGGCATTACCACATCTGCGTGCCGCGCAACCCTGCCAATGATCCTGTGAATGAAATCATGAATAATGAAAACCCTTTGAATATCTTATTCATTAAGCAACTATATTGATCGAGAGCATTGAGCGTTGGTTAATTAAAAACAAAAACAAAACAAAAACAGCAAAACTAAAAAAAAATAAACGTGTTGTTTTTTTAAAGGTATATTTCCAATAAAATTGCATTCATTACATAAAATGATCGCATAAACATTTGTTTACTCACCCTTCAAAACACAGTATGGTCTCCACTTATTTTCCGACTGATGGTCAATGAGAGCCAGTGTCTCTATCCAAACATCAAGCCCAATTCGAAAGTGTATAAGCGTTACTGTGCTCTCATTACACCTGCTGTTCACCTGCCTGTCCTGTCGCTGTGTTTATAAACGAGCTTTAATCATGGCTAATCTTTCCTCTCTCTCTTTTGGATCTTCTATAATTAGCCACGTCTTCGCCTTTGCTTAAGAACAGCTTTGACACTGAGAGTAGACTGTCTGCACGCTACTCACAGTCAGTAAACTACAACTGCAGCACATTATGAATAATTAGCCTACTGAAAGTATGCTAGTATCAATCACAGTCTATGGTATCAATGTTAATGGAGAGAAATAGTCTTAACTACTATGTATTAGTAGGCGAAAATGGGGTTAGTTGTCACACTAGGAAGTTGTGGAAGTCAAAATCGCTCTATTTTATTTTGAGTAAAAAGTTGACAAGTGTATGTTGTCTCTAGCCGTGGTTTTGCATGCTTATGTATCCATAAAATATACTTTAGCTTCTTAATTCAACGCAATATTGTATTTTTGTTGATCATATTTTCTTGCCCAAAAAAAAATGTTCATACAATAATTGGCAGACAACAACATGACTGAGAAATAGCTTCAATAAAAACTAGTAAAAGTGAAAACTAGCACTAATCTAATAAGTGAAATTAATGTTAGGAAAAAAAACAGGTCCACTTTTATGGAAGTTGTCAGTTTATTGAAAACAAAACGGTAACGATTATGCACTGAAATGAAAAAGGGGAACGAATACCTTTTGGCATAGAAGTGGCACAGAATAGGCTACCTATAAAGCAACTGTATATAGTTGTATGTATTTTTGCGACTTTGGGGCCCCCTATAGTTAAATGAGTCGTAATAACAGTGGATTGCTGTACACGTGCATGTATTGCTGCAGTAAAGCAATCTGCCTTTTTAGCCAAAATTTCGTAACCGCTACACACTTTTACAACAGACATATGAGGGGAGCGTTGGAAAGAAGCCGTTCGCCTTATTATTCACTGTACCATCAGAATGATTTTTGAAACTGACATTTCAAGGTAAACATAAATACAGTTGATTTATATCAAGAGAAAATTAGCATTTAGTCTATATTCAGGTTATATCAGTGAAAGACTTGCAGAACTGTTAGCCCTGATGCTACCAAAATGCAATGACAAAAATCCTGGACTCATCTAAGATTAGTTACCGTTCAGATTGCACAAATGTTGTTGTTTATTAACTATATGAAATAGAAATGGTGCCAATTTAAAGGAATGAGGAACTGAGAGATGGTTCCCATGGCACATAGCCTAAAACATATATTCAACAAATATCACACAGTATTCTCAATGTAAAAAAATTAAAAAACAGGTTACGCAAGATGCATAAATCTAATATGAAATATTCTCCTTATGAGACATCTGACACCAACAAACATCCACATGTGAAGTATACAAATATAGCTACATGACATTATTCTCACAGTTTCTAGACAGGGTGTAAGACAGCAACTGTGTGATCTCATTTGTCCTGAGAAAGTCGGCTGTCACAGTCACAATAACAGTGAAATTCTGTGTTTGTGAATGAACTGGAAAGCACCGGTGGCCCTGGTCTATGTGTCTGGCATCTCCACATCAGAGTTAAGGTTGAGTTCAGCGATGTTGTTATAGAGTGCAGGGTCAGGGCTTAAACGCTCGGAGGGTTTGCAGTGGCTGCTTTGAGCCTGTCTGTCCCGTGACTGGACCATTGCTTGGCGCAGGCATGAAATCCATTGCTGCTTATTGAAGGAGTCATTAGCCTGCAGGCTGTGGGATTGAGACTTGGAGCGCCCTGTGGCACTCACACGAAAACAGTTCTTCACTGGGAGGGAATTAGAAATAAAATGTGGAATTAGAATGAAGTGAAAGCAATTAAAACACATCCGATGTCAAATTAAAAGCATATAGAATTGCAAAACAGTTAAACATTTAAGCCTCTAATGCATGCATTATAAAAGCAATAGTAAATCAAAATAAACTTCTTAGTATTATTATTATTTTTAAATTATTTTAAAACATTTTAAAATACTGAAAAGTTTATGTAACGATTTATGTATGTTGCCTGTGAAAAGTATTTTAACCCCCCCCCCCCCCCACGCTGTACGTCTTCATGAGATCCAGCATCCACCACGGGTCAGTTTGTGTCGTAGTATGAGTACAGGTGTAGCTCAACCCATCCAGAGCGTTTGGGGCATACCAGTCGGAAGAATCTGAAGAATGAACGGCTGTTCCCCATGCTGCTACGTTCACTGGAATATGTTTAGTGGAAAATCTTTTTTTACCATTACATTTATTTATTTCTATTCTGACTGGAAATGATGGGTTTCTGTCAGTACTTGAAGTGGAAAAAAAGAAGTGCCGGTACTCCCCCCCCCTTATTTATTTATGTTTTTTATGTTAAATAACTACTTTTTAATTTTCATAATTCACAATGTAGGCTATGTATAGTGACACAATCAATCAGTAATTACACAAACGTTTTCAATACAAATAACCACAAGTCAAGCTGTGATACCAAACAGGACCACAGAGAGACGTCAAAGACCACTAAACCTCCACTGGATACATTCAGAATCGCTAAACTTCTTACCACCGCATAGCACCTCAGCCAGCCAGAGTCCATTATAAAACATTCTTGCTTTTAATCCAAATACACAATGAAAATAATAATTTACTGACATCTGGACGTGAGTCACTATTCTCTCCACAATCTCTGATTAAATTGGCCGTGTTTTTCTCTGCATTAGCAGTTTTGTCCAACTGTTTGAATTCGCTTACTGGATCCTTGGACTTTCCAGAAGTTTATCGGTTTCCATTAATAATCGCAAAAACCTGCTTCTTTTATTTTTAAGGTATTGTTTTCGTTGTAATGTACTGATTCAAATTAGTAATTCATTATTATTCTACTTCTCCTGACATGCTCTTGCACCTTGCACAATTTGGCTGAAAGGATAACAGTAGCCATAGTGAAACAGGACAGCGGCCAAACATCCTCACATTATATTATTTCTTTGAAAATTTATATGAATTATCCATCTTTCTAAAGAAGTTGACGCAAACATGGATTTATCAATGTTTTTCTATTGTGTTATACGTGTATGCCTTTGGACTTAAATGGACTGAGTTGTTTTATGCATTTTTGTGATTACAAATAAATGGAGCAGTCGTGACTGAACAAGTATGTTTTCTCATTATATGTAAAATAATTAAATATATTATTTGGATTGAGCATCACTGATGTGCACTTCTGACACAAAGTAATAAATTACTGTCACTGTAACTTTTTTAATCGTAAATCATTGGTAAAATATCGATGCTGAAGACTTTTTAAATATTTATAAGGACGAAACGTCCGCTTCTGTCAAGTTCGATTTGCGATCGTTTTTCAATCATATTTTTTACTGCAAGAAAAAAATTGGTTTATTCAAATTGAAATCTCTTCCATTAAAAAAAAAAGCATTCTGGTTACCTTTATTTTTCTTATTTTTTTAAGCAATTGATAAATCAAAATTAATTTTTAAATTTTGTTTTATTATTTTTTTTAAATATATTAAAATACTGAAAATTTTTAAATATTGAGTATTATATAATAATATAAAAATATAACATACAGTGAAAAGAAATTAAACACTTTGCTACTGTTAAACTAAATAATCGGTTTATTCCATTTCAATGGTAATCATTTTATTGCAATCCTGTATGCGTCATATGCTTTCAGCTGAATTTTTTAAAATAAATAAATCATTATAAGTGTAAGATGCAATGCTGCTACCTTTGTCATTGCCCGTAAAAGCCCCACGAAAGGATCCAGAGCTGCTTGGCTCTCCATCAGGTAGGTCCTCCAGATGGAGGTGAGCAGCTGGGAGGGGCTGACGATACACCTGGAACTGGACTGGTCCTTCCCTATCCTGTGCCACTAATCGGGTCAAAACCAATACCAGCTCAAAGAGGAACACATGCAGCTTCTAGAGAGGAGAAATTAGAAGGAAAATATCTGTGTGAATTGTTTTTAGTTTAAACACTGGAATGATGAAATGCTATACATTTGTTGAAAAGATAAAATATCAATTTAGATGAAAAACACGCAGTTACCTGTCCTTTAGTACTCTTCAGTTCACCATGGCAGTATAAAAAACGAGATGCCTGGATTTCTGAAACCCTCTGGCTGTCTTCTGAGTAGCACAGCCCCCGTCTGTAAAACTGACACTCAGCCTCTCCAGTTTTAAGATTGACTTCTGTTATAATCCTTTGGATTAGTTCCATCTGAGGTAACAAGAAATAAAAGGATATACTAGCTGCATTGTTACAACATTAGGTGGCAGGCACTGTTGCCAAGTCCGCGGGAATTGGGCTACTTTAACACTCATTCTGCAGGATGTTTTTCCATGTCCGCGGGTTGAAGCGACCCCAATAACGTGATATTTAGCCCCTGGAATGCGACTTTTATCAGGGGAACCCCACCAAAAAATGTGTATTTTACCCTCCAGAATGCGCTTTTTACCGGGGGATCCCCCCTGAAAAGCGATTGGGATAATTTTGAGTAGCAATTGGGCGGGTTTTGCTGTCAAAACCTGGCAACCCTGGTGGCAGGTCTTGAAAAGTGAATCACTGAATCACTCAACCAATTGTTTATAGGCAACAATAAAGGTAGCTTCATTGCATCTTAGCATCCTAGCATATTACCCTTACTATTTCTCCAATATATTTATATGGCACAAATATGGCTTCATGTCTGAATAATTTCATCAATCACTCAACCATTTTGTTCAAAACGTTAACTGAGTACCAAATGATGCACTATACACTATGCACTTATACACTATGTACTTGCGCACCATGTACTCAACCATGCAGTGTATGAATTATATAAGGTTATTTTGTCATTAATAATTGGAGTCTGATAGCCCCTCCCCCTTCGCAAAGTAATTAAAGTTGCGACAGTTGAATGCATGAAGTGTCCAAGATTCCACACTTAGTTTTTTCGGTTAAGTGCATCATCTGGGTACTTGGGACGTACCTAATGATTCATTCAGGAAGAAGTAACTTGGAACCATATCCAGTGTTAGTATGCAATATGTGAAAGCATCTAAACTCACCGCCTG